TAAGAGGAGAAGAACTCCAAGACTTCAGTTTGTGTTTCGTATTTGCAGGAAATTTTGAATCGAAGAAACATCTCTAATGGGATGATGGACATGGTCAACGTGTTTCACAGTTGTAATCAGGTAGAAGAAAAACCTCTTTCGTATAAAGGAAGAATTTCCTATTTTTTAATACCGTATTCATGTTTATATTTTWGTATTAAAGAATAAAGTAAAATATTATTATTGACACGAGTATTTTATAGATCGAATGAGGTCGAGTCGTTCATGCACCCTTGTCGGTGACGATAACGTCGAAAAGGTTACAGGACTCGTCGTGTTGACGACAGAGTGATAGCTGAGCATCTCAACGGCTCTTATTGATCTACTCAACACATTTAGGCTAATGTTTTGGCAATGCTAGACTCGTACTAAAATCCTAAATCTTTTACCAAAATGATGTCGAGTAAACGTCGTTCTATGGTTGGCAAACATAGCTTAGGATCCTTAACTCATCAAATGCAACATTACTGGCGATGAGACATGGGTTTATGAATGCGATCCAAAAATGAGTAGAATACGATAAAAACCAAATTCGCTAAATCGCTGAAGGCACTGAATGTCATCCCACCCGAAGCTTTTAACAAGTGTGTGTCATTAACTGTTATACTTGCATTGACTGAGCAGCCTATTTTGAAGGCGATAATAAAGTTTCATATTCAAATACGTGAAAATGTAGTTTTTTTTGTAGTCAGTCGTGTCATTATTTGTTATACTTACATTGACTGAGCAGCCTATTTTGATGGCGATAATAAAATTTCATATTCAAATACGTGAAAATGTAGTTTTTTTTGTAGTCAGTCGGAGTCCAATTTGTTACATACATACATGTATATGATATATTTGTAGATATACATTCACATATATAATATATTCTCATATTTCTGGAAGACAATTTATGTGCAACAGTCCGCCGATAAGCAATTAATGCGCAAATTGCATTTTTTCCGACAGACTCACGAAATTATATATCGATACACACATACAAACATATGGTATGCGCTCTTATGCATATAACTATGCAAATCAAATGAAGAATCTCGTCTGTTCGGAGTTTTCATTCAATTTTGTCTACCCGCTTACTTACATACATACATACATACATATGTCCGTATATATAATACATACATATATTTATATATAAAGAGGCATTTATGTATGAACAAATGCGAGTAAATTGAAATTGAAAATGGAAATGGAAATTATTACAATTGCGACAACAACAACAAGAGCAAAAATGTCGGCATGTGAGAAAGCAACAAGTGTCTGTACATTTGTTGGTATATGTTGTTGTTATTATTATTGTTGTTGTACATATCASCTGCGAACGCTGAACAAGCGAGATGTGAACATTGGGCGACGTGTTGTTGTTGTTGTTGTGCTTGTGCGACCGCCCGTTGATAAAACAGCTCCGATCGGACCGGACAAATGACCACTTTACGTACGTCAACGTAATCAMATTACGAGCGCGAAATATGAATTGCACAGCTATGACAAAAACAACAACTTTCAATTATAATAAAAACGAAAAACAACAATTAAAAAATAGCTGTAATAAATAAGSGAAAGTAAAAAATAAATTAACAGAAATGTACAACATAAAACAAGAACAACAGTAACAAGAATCACTATAAGCATTGAAATTGGAAAAGGGCGCAGCTAACTGTACACCCATGCACACATACCCAGCACACCAGTCGGCCAACTGCTCTACATCAGTCAGACCACATGTCTGTCCAAGCGTTGGGCCACTTATAATACTTATAATTGCGTGCATATTTGTGTGTATGTGWGTATGTAATCGTTATTAGTTGTTGGCTTAGATGCCGCTCGCCGTCGTGTTAATTAGATTTCATAATAAAAATGTTGCCTGCAAGCGCCAGCAATTGGAACGKGATTGGAGGTCATGAAGAGCGCGGGGTAGTGCTCGTATTTTAATTTCCGTTCGCGCCGGCACAGCGGAAATGGGCATAAAAATGCTATTTTGTTTTTCTTCAAGTGTTAAAAGGCAGTAAAATTTTGTTACATTCTTGTTGTTGTATGCTTTGGTGATTACTARAATGAAACAAAAAATCGCATAAAAATGTTGAGCGTTTTATTGCTTTATCGCCACGACGACGGATTTTTCAATAAAACAAAAAAAAGTTTTGAAAAATAAAATTTTTAAGTTTTAAGTGGAATAGTTAAGTAAACATAAATATATACAAAATTTAATATCTCTTATATTTCTTAACCTATAATTCATAAAAATATATCACTATTTTTGGACAACAATCTATATAAAATTTCACCAATACTTCTTGTCAAATAAAAAGTTTTCCAASAACTTGATTTGGATGGTTCTGTTTGCATGGCAGCTTAGCACAAGCTTCATACCGATATCTCAAAAAGACCAGTACGCATATATACGCRCAGACGGACAAATTTATTCACTTAAACGATGATTCATTTCGTGGTTCCCTACTTTTTTTTTTAAGAATAAACCCAGAACCTTCAAATTCAATGGGTAATGTTTATTATCATTCGAAAAACCATTCCTTGGCATTAATTTTTGAAGATAAATATTGGCCGTGGCTACGTCTCAAATGGTTCATTCGTTGAGTCCATTGTACGATGACTCGTTCGAGCATGTTTTGCTCTAAGACCTGAATCAATTGTCCGTATAGACTTTAGCCTACAGGAAAAAGTCTARTAGTGTGAYATCACAGGTCCGCCAATCGACCTTCCGTAAACGTGACATTATGTGCTCTTCGAAGTAATCTCTAAATAAATATATTGATTGATGCATTRTGTGGAAATTGGMGCCATCTTTTTGAAACCAAATGTTGTAGGGATYAAAAGTTTCAATTTGAKRCATCAAATAGTAGGTTATCATGGCYCGATAACGGTTGCCRTTGWCGATTCCATCATCATTTTTAAAGAAATACAGATTAACGATCCCACCGGCCACACAAAATCGTTGCTTTTTCTGRATGAAATGGCAGCTTTTGAAACTCTTCGGATCTTCTTGGAACTTTTCAAGAGCCCATGGAGGCTCAGCGATGTCGCTGAGGAAGGTTCAGCGGCTTCAGATCGTGCAAAAGCTGCATTTTGTACACTTTCAATTTAAGATCTCGAAGTAAAATCCGCCAAGTCGTTCCATTCGTCAGTCCGAGTTTTTGCGAAAGGCACCGAATCTACTCACTACGGTCYTCGTGTAAAATCTGAGCTAAGACTGCRGTATTTTSTTCACTGCACGCTGRACGTGGCCTATTTYAACGAATATTATCCTATAAGGAATGCTGGGTCTCACGATTGGTGATGTTATTGCGAAGAGTACGCTCAGTAGGCCGATTATGTTGACCATAAGTTGAGCGAAGCGAACGAATCACGTTTTAGAGTGTGTGAATTGTCGTCTTAAAGATGAACGATTTTAAACTTTGTTCAGACGTAAGCCTTTCAATGTTGAAATGCCAAACTACTGAACAAAAATAAGATGACGCTAGACACGATTCACTTGTGTTTTGTCAAAATAGACTATTGAAAAAAGTACATCAACTTGGATGACCCGTTACCTTACACGGTCTGCTACGTTTCTTATTGGGGATTACAAACTTCGTGGCAAGCTTAGTGTTGTTCAGGGTATAAGAAAACAGTAGATGATTATTTGTGCATTTTAAACGAATTGCGAGATTGTAGTAGACATTGCACGTTAAATGATGTGGGGCTTTATAGATGACTACATGTTTATTAGAGCGGGTCGATTTGGCGGGAGCTGACAGATTGGGAAAATCGTTAATGCGGATCATTATGATAAATTAGAGAACTTCTTTTTAATAAAAAACAGTATGCCGGATTTAGTGTTATAGTTGCCTGACATGAATGATTCCAACTAATAATCAACACAATATCATAATGCCCCTGTATATTAAATGTCATTAGGATATCTCAAAACTCGACGAAAGAATTGGTAAAATCCCGAAAATCGCTGGCTCGTAACAAAATGATCCATAGAACATTTTTCACAAACGCGATTTAATTGATCCGGATTGATGTATATGAACAGAATGCTTACTGATAAGGTATTTTAAGATTTCATATATGTATTTAAGGTGCGGGTAAGTTTTGATTTGATGTATGTATTTAATAATAACACTGTGCTGCAAAACTTTTGCAACTCTTTAACATTGACTGAATAGAGGTCAGTCAGTTAGTTAACCAATTAATGATTTTTATTTTTTTATAATTATAAATGTGGGACTAAACTCTTATTTGCCAATTTTTAATTATGAAACTTCAGGATCTCCAAAACTAATGCTGTTCTATATAAAAAAATCAAGGATTTAATTTTTATCAATTTTTAACTTTGTTATTTCGGGATTTCGGGAGCTAAATCAGCAAAAGATATCAAAGGTTTTTGATGAAGCAAATCCGATATTCTTTTATAGTACATTAAATTAATTGTGTCGCTAACCATCTACTGGCATTAATTTATTTACAACGTCAAAGACATATTTAATTTTCGGGATTCGAAATTTCAGAACTTTTAATCCCGAAATTTCGGGATTCTAGAACTGAACAGAATTAGTCTTCATATTAATAATATCGATTAATAAAGTGTTTACTATATGTACAACTTTTCGGGATCCCGAAATCAATTTTCAACTAAACACCATATATATATTAGTATACTACAAATATAAAGYACTACAAGTATATATGGTGTTTAGGTTAAAATTGATTTCGGGATCCCGAAAAACTGTCATATAATTGTTGCTAAATTCTATGCATTCCATAAAAAAAAMTATTTGTTGCATAGTGCTCTTAACAAGTAAACAATTATTCCAAGTGCATTTTTCTGGGTGAAGACTGCATACTGCAATATARATTAAACAAAATTGGCGTATCAGCTCTTCGCAAGGTCCGACAGTTGAATTTTCACATTGCTGGTGTCTAGTACGGCAATTTCTTTAATTTCAAGTGCAATGCTGTTCTGCGCAATTTTGTTGTTGTTTTTCATCTTAGCGCTGTTAAATTATGTCACCATGCTGCGCATACGTCGTGGTGCACTTCGCAATGTGCCGGGGCCGTACTGCTWTCCATTTATAGGCGCAGTGCAATTATATCTCCAGCTTAATATGAATAGTGAGTGATTTTCGAAAGGAAATTCAAAATAAACCCTTAAATGAAAAATTCTCAAAATCTCTGCAGATATGCTGGATCACATGTCCAAGTTCCACGAGCAGCATGGCAGCATAATAGCCGCTTGGGTGGCCAATCGTGTGGGTGTTTSCAGTATCGATTTGGAATTGAACGAGCAACTCTTGGCCTCACCACAACACATTACCAAGCATTTCAACTACACAATTCTGCGTCAGTGGCTGGGCACCGGACTGCTGCTGAGCGACGGTCGCAAATGGTTTGTACGCCGAAAGATTATAACRCCCGCCTTTCATTTCAAGATATTGGAACAATTTGTCGAGGTTTTCGATCAGCAATCGACGATTTTGTTGAGTTGTTTGGCGAAGAAAGCCGATGGCCGCAATGTCTTTGATGTCTATCCGTTTGTTTGCTTGGCAGCTTTGGAYATTATAGCGGGTAAGTGGAGTTGAGCGATTTCTGAGTTAATGKTGTTGTAAGTTTTTGTTTGTATTGAATGTTTCAGAGACAGCCATGGGCACTAAAATGGGAGCGCAAACTGATGCGAGGAGTGAATATGCGTTGGCTGTGAAGAAGTGAGTATCAGAACTCAACGAGTCTGTGTGTGTGTTCAACAAAATTTGGCACGCCCGTCGTCTATGCGTTAAACCCATTCTAACGATTAGATGGTTGCCACTGGTATACAATTTTGAGTCAAAAATTCAAATTAAAAGTGCTATAACGTGATGTCTGCATAAAAGTTTGAAACAATTTGGGCTTAAAATATTTTTGGTAAGGTTGCCACCTGCTTAAATGATTAATTTAAAYATAAATTTTGTTTTTCAGTGATCAGAAAAAATTATTCGCATATTAATATCAAACTAAGGACAATTAAGGAGACTTAAAACTAAACATTTTTTGCAAAGGGTTGYCACCTACCTGTAATTTTTTGCAATTAAAATTATAATTTTARTGGATTTTGCTATTAAACTAAGAAGATATGAGAAAAGTTAAACTTCAAAATTTGTTGTGTGCCATGGTTGCCACATTTTTAAAAATATTTATACAACCAAATTTAAGAAATAAACGCATTATTACGATAATGCCATTTGAAATAGAAGTTTAATTAGACCAACAAGTGCAAATTTTATTAAAAAGCCATGCCACCTGTTTAAAAAATGTTATTCAATAATTACAATAAATTTTGTAATATGCAAACAGTTTTTTTTTCATATATTTTTAACATTAAACCTTTTATAAAAAATAAAAATTAATAATATTTTTATATTTTCGAGTAGTTCTTAAACAATCCGGAATCAACTTTTCAACTTTGTTAAATGTTTTTCAAGAATACTATCAATTCAAATTTTTTACTTCTAGAACCACAAAAATTATCGCCTGGCGTTTCACGAAATTCCATCTGAACAATGAAATTTTATTCAGCATCTTGCATCCCCACCTCAAGTGGCAGCAAATGCGTCTCATTAAAACATTGCATGAGTTCACAACCAAACTGATCAAACAAAGACGTGAGGCACTTGAAAAAAATCGAAAAGTTGCGCCGCCGACTGAAGATTTGACGGAAGACTCCCACTTTGTGGGYAATAAGAAACGTATGGCTCTGCTTGATATGCTGCTTCAGTCCACGATCGATGATCAACCGTTGTCCGATGACGATATACGCGAGGAAGTCGATACTTTCATGTTCGAAGGTCACGATACCATTACTTCGGGCATATGTTTCACACTATATTTACTCGCACGCCATCCGGAGGCACAACAGAAGGTGCTGCAGGAAGTCACAGCTGTGTTGGGTAATGATCGAAAGCAAGCGATCAGCATGACTGAACTCAATGAGCTCAAATATGTGGAATGTGTTATTAAGGAGACACTGCGTCTCTATCCCAGTGTGGCTCTTGTGGGCAGACAATTGACGGAGGACTTCAAATATAGTAAGATTTGTGTACATTTGTATAATCATGAAATTATCTTTAAAATCTTATACAGCTCATTCTCAGATTGGAGACGGCATCATACCSGCGGGCTCTCAAATTCTTATCAGTCTTTATGGCATGTTTCGTCAGGCACGTTATTTTGAACGACCCACTGACTTTGTGCCCGAACGTCATTTGAATAATGGGAGCGCTAGTGCATTTCTCTTTATACCTTTCAGCGCAGGACCGCGTAATTGTATCGGCCAGAAATTTGCCATGCTGGAGATGAAGATGATAATTGCCAAGATCGTGCGTGAATACGAGCTGTTGCCCTTCGGCGAGCCCGTMCAAATAGAATCAAATATTGTTATGCGCTCAACAACGGGGTTTCAGTTGGGCATGAGAAAGAGAGAGTGAATGAATTGGAATTCTTTACGATTTTTTAGAATAGTGATTGACTTCTTATATTTTTATTTGTATTAAAGTGATCAAATAAGATGTGGAAAWATGTATGTGTATTTAAGACATTTTCTTGTAGAATAAAATCTTTTTCGAAAATTAAAGTATATTGAGAGAGGATTGATCAGAAGTTCCAGGCATATGTGCCATATCGCACCCGAAAAATTAATGCATTGTGATTRTTTAGAATTTTTGCGAAGGAGGAGTAAAGCAGACATATATAGCAACTTTCTAGAATACAAATACTATAAACTTTTACACTATGTCATAATGAATCTATCTATCAATTTCTGTTTTAGTTAAAATTATGTATAGATCTTTTAAAGAATGAGAAACTTCTAAACTWTTGGAAACAACAATCGAGAACGCKTTGACGACGAACCACACCCATGGCGGYGAWSACCATCAACMGATGATCAACACGTCAACAAAAGAAARAAATTACTGCATGAGAATTAACGATAAGAGTCAGAGATTCTTACTGGCATTATTGGAATGTCGGAATCGCTAGTGAAAACCATTTGGAAAGATTAATTGGGTGTAAGGAAAGTGAAAGCACCATTGGTTCCAAAGTCAATAAATTTTTCAAAACATAGCTTCGCGTTAACGTTTGTCAAAAAATGCTTTCCGACTACCAGGATGTCATGAAACGTATTATTATTGGCGATGAGTCTTGGATCTATGCTTACGATTCGRAAACAGATGATTAATTGGTCGAATATCTTAGCGAAGGAAAGTCTAAGCCGAAAGTCCCACGTCAAAGCAGGTCAAAAATCAAGATTATGTTCACAGTTTCTTYGATTATCGAGATGTAATGCACTCCGAATTCCTTCTCACCGTCCAAATTGTCAACAAGGAATACTATTTGAGTGTTATGCGTCGTTATTCGTTAAAATAGGATTTATGGATAATGCACCGTCACATACTGTGTTGATTCTTYTTGAGTTTTTCACCAAAGTCATGCCGAAACCACCATCTTCGCCTGATTTAGCTTCGTGTGACCTCTGGCTATTCAGAAAACTCAAACAACCGCTCCGGGGAAACCATTTTTAGTCCACTGACATTAAGGGGTTGGGTGGGTTTCAGAGGTACAAAAAAAAGGTATTTTTACGATTGTTTTTTAATACAAGCAATCATATATTTGAAAAATATAATATGTTATATATTCGAACAATATCTCCTGAAATATGCGATACGATACAAAATGTTGAAAATTCCGCCGTTGAGACCGCATTTCTCTGGGTGTCTCTCAAAAAAGTACTCTCGCCTTGGACAGCATAACTTATTATTAGTTCGTACTAAATTATAAAACTAAGCATATTCTGTTAGTACATATCTAAATCTCGTTTTTGAACGTAGAAAATAAAAAAATATTAAAATTGTCCTTCTTTTCTCGGACTTTCGGAATTTTCGGCATTTTTTGGTCAGAAAAAGTCCACCGACTTTAAAAACACAGTTTCGAGAAAAACGCGTTTAAAGACAGGGCACTTAGCGCAGCTAGCCTTGCGTGCAGAAGTTCTCAAGCCTGTATCTGCGAATTTATTACTCTCAGATCAGCTTTAAAATTTAGGAATATATTCTAGAGGTATTGTAGAATTTAATAAAGCAAAAAAAAAAAAATGATTTTTGGAAATTTTCAAACCCACCTAACCCCTTAAACGTGAATCGTTACGCGCATTGAAGGCTATTCCGAAAATTGACTATAACAAGTGTTTCAAAGATTGGAAAAGCGTTAGCACAAGTGTTTTGAGGCCAAAGGGAATTACTTTGAGCAGCACGATATAGATTGTGAAGAATATTTATGCTCGTAGTATTAGTATTATATTTGGACTTTTTATCATGGGTTGAGAAAAATACAGTATCATACATTTTTTCAAAGTATAAAATCATCTATCTCTATATTGGCCAGCGCTAAGAAATTCAAGAGGATTGATTCGATAATCAATCAACCACGGTCCTAAAAGTTCCAGGCATTCTATAAACATAGAGAGTGGGAGTACATACACTCTACCCTATGCTTTCGATGACGATAACTCAGAAAATTCACCAGCCTTTCTGCTAAACTTTAGTTATTATACCTGTCTCTTATACACATCTAGATGTGTATAAGAGACAGAAAATATATGGTGTTTAGGCTAAAATTGATTTCGGGANGTACTAAATTATAAAACTAAGCATATTCTGTTAGTACATATCTAAATCTCGTTTTTGAACGTAGAAAATAAAAAAATATTAAAATTGTCCTTCTTTTCTCGGACTTTCGGAATTTTCGGCATTTTTTGGTCAGAAAAAGTCCACCGACTTTAAAAACACAGTTTCGAGAAAAACGCGTTTAAAGACAGGGCACTTAGCGCAGCTAGCCTTGCGTGCAGAAGTTCTCAAGCCTGTATCTGCGAATTTATTACTCTCAGATCAGCTTTAAAATTTAGGAATATATTCTAGAGGTATTGTAGAATTTAATAAAGCAAAAAAAAAAAAATGATTTTTGGAAATTTTCAAACCCACCTAACCCCTTAAACGTGAATCGTTACGCGCATTGAAGGCTATTCCGAAAATTGACTATAACAAGTGTTTCAAAGATTGGAAAAGCGTTAGCACAAGTGTTTTGAGGCCAAAGGGAATTACTTTGAGCAGCACGATATAGATTGTGAAGAATATTTATGCTCGTAGTATTAGTATTATATTTGGACTTTTTATCATGGGTTGAGAAAAATACAGTTCATACATTTTTTCAAAGTATAAAATCATCTATCTCTATATTGGCCAGCGCTAAGAAATTCAAGAGGATTGATTCGATAATCAATCAACCACGGTCCTAGAAGGTCCAGGCATTCTATAAACATAGAGAGTGGGAGTACATACACTCTACCCTATGCTTTCGATGACGATAACTCAGAAAATTCACCAGCCTTTCTGCTAAACTTTAGTTATTATACTCTCGCAACAAAGTTGCTGCAGAGAGTATTATAGTTTTATTCACATAACGGTTGTTTGTAAGGCCTAAAACTAAAAGAGTCAGATATAGGGTTATGTATACCAAAGTGATCTGGGTGACGAGTAGAGTTGAAATCCGGATGTCTGTCTAGATATCTTGATGAAACTTGTCATGCGAGAGTATAAAATGTTCGGGGACACCCGGTGAACTTAGCCCTTCCTTACTTGTTTTTATATATTTKATTCGCAACGGGTTAAAGAGTCATTAGTGTGTCACTTAAGTTCGCAAACTTGTAGTTCAAGCTTTACGCTCCACTCAACTCTGGCAAGACGATTGCGAAATCTACTTCCGTAAATTAACGCTAATGGACATACACACAACGGCACAAAGTTATTGTTGTGGTTACTGAAGCTGTTGCTCGCGCTGTTCCACTTGTTTTTTAGCCACAAGCGTCCAAATTCGACTTGACGCTCTCTCGCTTCATGATATTTATATGACAGTTATGGTTGTCTCGTTTGCGCWCGCTCTCACACACATTACCGCTAAACTGCGAACTCCATCGGTTGTCGTTTGGATTAGCAAATAAACAACATCGCTGAACCAAAACAAACACAAGACGCTGGCGCTAGATATTATTCAACTTTTGTGTAGATCTCCCTCCATACATACGTACGCTCTCACATGCACACTATACAAACCTCTTTTGGACCCAAACAGGTAACTTGTCAGTAGAAAAAAGCTCTTCTTAATTGACGGCATAGTAAAGTTGATTGTTTTATCGTAATATATATATTGTTGGCTCTCGAGTGCGGCAAATATTGGATAAATAGATAATTTTTTGTGAATTAACACTTTGTCGATGCGGATAAAGATCAATGCGAAAACATAATTAAATCAACAGTAACGATAGGGAGGRCGCTCAGGTGTGGCGTAGCAGAAATAATTGGAGTGGAAGCCGCATTGTGATAACAGCGGACGACGACTGCGCATAGGCCTCGCAGTCTCCGGTTGAACAGCGAGAGCAAGAGCAGTGKTTAGTGGCTTCCAAGCGCCGAGCTCGGTGGCGCTGTAGTGCAGCTTTGTTTTGCATCTTTCACCGTTGGAAAATCTTTCGGTTTTCAGTTTGTTTGTTTCAGTCACTTCGACGTGTTGTGTTGCAATATGATCGTCATTTGCATATTCATTTCGCTGACAATCGTTTCGGCGTTGAATTATGTTAAGACGCGTAGGAAACGTGCRCTCATCACGAATCTAAGTGGACCCTTGGCGCTGCCGCTAATCGGTTCGGTKCAGAAGTTCTTGCTGCTTACACCAAGAAGTGAGTTTGGTGTTGTTTTTGTTGGCAAATGTGTTTTTTTTTTTGCTTAGTCATGTTAAGTGATCGAAAGTGTTGCAAGAAATCGCGAAAACCCTTTTTGGTAAAAAAYGTAAACGAAGTCGACAGAGTGCCGTATAGGAAATGACAATAGTTTCCTTCGTATATTTTAAAATTCCAAAGATCGCCGGTAAAGTTCGAAAATGTATTGTATCGATGTAGTTTGTGTAGTCTGAACCGAAAGTTTAATGATCTTTTCGGGAAGCAAAAGCCTCAGTATTTGGAAAAGGTTTCATAATAGACCTACCTAAGTGGTTGACTGTTATCCGGTTTATGAGCTCTAGTGCCGATGCAAACCTTAAAGTTGATTAAAAAGGAAATGCAGAAACGCAATCTTCGACCGTTTTTACTCTTGTAAATGACTTTAGCTCTTTGTTGAGGATTTGAAGCTTTGGTCGAATGAACGCACGTAAAGCACGACCAAAAAAGCTCAGCAAGTCCCCAAAAAGTTTAAAGTTTTCGCTTTAATTATAYGAATCGTTAAACATTTCGAAATGGGCTTTAATTGTTTTGTCGCTAATATTGATCTGGTTGTGGTAATTCGGTAAGCCCTTGAAAGGCGTTGTTCTCTTTCAGAAGCTAGTGTAATAAACAAGCTCTAAATTATCCATCCAACATAAGCTTAGACCTTCATAAGAACTCACTTTTTCGACGTTCCTCACTGTTTGCTCCATCTCACATGTTTGCGCTTAGTTTAAAAAACCATCTAACATTTTAGGGTTGCCCCTTGAATAATACTAACCATGTTAAAATAGTCCACTCTAAACTGTGATCGCTCTTGAGGAACTGTAGCATAACTAACTGATCACTGT